AGCGCGGCCGGCCCGGGCCGCTGCGCCCGCGGGGCTCTGCAGGCCGGGCCGGGGCGCAGAGCCATCCTGCCCGCCCTCCCCCGGCCCAGAGCAGCTCCCCGCGCCAGTGCCAGCCCTGGTGCTCTTCTCTACACAGGGGCAGGGGGTGACGTTTGCCGGTTTGCGCCCAGCACCACCCCGGCTTCGCGCTTCACTTATCGTTTCCATCCAGGCCTTGTGGAAAAGCCGCCAGCATCTGAAATAAACATTTGTTACGAAAACAGGCTGCTGGCAGAGGGTGCGTCCTTGTGCAGAGCGCTGCAGCCACAGAGCCGCTTCCCAAACTCCTCCCGTATGGGGCGGCACAGCTGGGGCTCTTGAGAGAAGCGCCCGGCTCCATCTGTGGTGGCAGCGGACAGGGAGCAGAGCTGGGCTCTAGGAGATTGGTTTGCCTGGGAGGGAGATCGGAGAGGAGGGCTGGGCAGTTCTGTTGCCACTTCACCTTCTGTCAACTTCTGGGGGCTGAGATGGGCCCCCACAACTAGTGAACGCTGCAGCTACCATCCCAGGTGCTGAACGCTCCAGCAGACTTCTCTCTGCATAGGACCATCAAAGGCATAGCACCAAGTTTCATTTATGTAGCAAAGCCTGAGGCCTTTGCAAGCCTGCAACTGTGGTAGAACTCATGGCAGGCAAGACATTCACATGGGGGCTGGAGATAAGCTGCCTTTGCACAGGAGAAAAAATAAAACTACCCAGGGGTCTGTTAATGGCACAGAAACAGCTCTACAAAAGAGCTCAGTCTCACATCCTCAGTCTTTATGTGAAGTAATGTGGCTTTTTGACATTGATGCCATATTCTGCAAGTGCCGGCGTCAGATCCTCCATAGTCAGCGTGTACTTCTTATCCTGCAGGGACAGGGAGGCCGGTCAGTGACAGCAACAACAGGCTGAACTGCAGAGTGTTGCTCAGAAGCCCATGTGGTTTGGGGTTTTCCTCTATAACGGTGGTGACCCATATATCCACAGTTCCCAGAATCAGCTGCAGATCTGTGTCTTGGGCATAAACCAGCGTTTAAGTGCTAAGCATTTCACTTGCTCTCTGCCCCACTGGCTCAGCAAGCACAGAACCACACTGAGCACTACTCAAAAGCCGTAAATTAAACCTCCAGCACAAAGCTCCAGAACCACAAATAGCTGGTGACTAGGAGAATTCCCAGAAATGGTTTCTACGCACTTACTGCCTGTTTATATTTTTCCTTAAGCAGCAAGGCGACGTGCCCCCTAGTCTAATCACAGGCAGTGATTCAAACATTCCTGTGAAGCCATCGAGGCAGCTCCGTTAACTCTGCTGCCCGTTTCGTGTCCTCACTCGTGTCCCTTTCCCACTGGCAGAACCTTGGCTCCCTAGCGAGGCTGTCAGGCCGCTCTTGAGGAGCTTTTCAGCAGCACAATAGATTTGAAAGAGATGCCTGCAACACGCATCTCACCCGGTGTCTGCGGGCCCAGAGACCGTCCTTCCCCAGAGCAGCAGCTCCATCCTTTTCTCACCTTGCTCTTGTTACGGGAGCTGCCAGAGGCTGTTCCCTTCATCTTGCAGTGCTGCAGCGCGTCATTGGCAATGTCAGAAATAAACTTCTGAGCAGCCAGCGAGATCAAACGAATGCTGTCCAGCAGAGAAAGACAGGGATTTCTTTAGACAGAAGGCACTGAACACCAATGGGGTTAAGTTGCCTTCTCTGGGACCCCAAGAGACCAAACCCCGGAGAAGGTCCTTGAAACCAGACCCACGGCTGCCACTTACATGCGAGGATCAGAGGCTTCAAACCCTGCCCTGTTCAGGTAATAGCCTGTGACGGCATCTGGGATCTGCAAAAGAAAAGAACGAGAGAATTCCTGCGCTGCGGCTTGCAGGGAACAAGGAGGCACCTCATCCCGCCCCCGAGCCGCCCCGTTACCGTGGGCGTGTAGTCCTCCAGCTGCATGAGGAAGTCCACGAGCGGCGTTGTGGACACCACAGGCTTCACATCCCCGTTGGCGGCGCTCGGGGGCACGTAGACCCCGTTGGACATGGCCCCCTCGGCAGGCGCCGCGGCCGCAGCCGCCGACACGGGCACTGCGGGGACAGAGGGCATCAGCGGGCACCGCCCCAC